ATGTGATCCTTTAATTTCGTTATCATTGGAAGAATTAATCAAATAAAAGTTACGCAAATTTCATAAACATTCTTATTCCTCGAATAATCCTTGAGGAGTTTTGTAGTTCCTGATAAGTTTTAACGATAGTGGTGCTATGCAACGTCGTTAAAATACGAATTTTCAAAAAATTGAGGTGCCAATAAGCCTTATAACTAATTACGACTAAAATTATACAACTAAAAATATTGTCTATAATAATTAAATGTGATGCTTATATATTGAATTATCTTAGGGCTAATCAATTCTTTTATACATTAAGTATAATCCACTTTTTTAATTTATATTTCCTTGTATAGATGTTATTAATCATTTTTAGTTCCGTAGGAAGACTATTAAATAAGATAATTGCTCTTATGATACTGTTCTTAATGCTAACAGTTTTGTATCTTTTCGGGATAATTATGTTTTTGTTTCTGGTCACGCTATTTGAATTAATGAATTTATCTTGTAAATACTTATAGTGAAAATTTAGTGATTCATAGGCAAACATTTGTTTTAGATTCAATGGAGTCTTATTGATTATAAATTGATTTTTATTTACATTTTTCAGCAATCTGTTTTGCAGGTTTTGTATTAGCTTTTGATTATTTGCATACATTCCACCCCATGCTATCATTTCATAGCTAATTATGCTACGAAGAAAAGCATAGTATAACATTTTGAGTGTTTCACTCGTCATAAATTTAGATAACTTTCGAAACACGAAAATTAGGTATTTAGTTTTATTCAATAGGTACTCTGTATGCTTTTCCCAATTCAATTTATAATCAAATATCACAGCTAAATATGTACAGTGCTCGACTGTTTTTAGAGCTTTACCCTCTATGTGTACTTCAAAATCACTTGGAACACTATTGCAATAGTTTCCAAAAGTTATATATACAGTTTCCTCAATATTTAATGATAATTTGTTACTAGTCAGCCATTTATAGATCAGATTTATATAAATATTCATTTTTGACTCAACTTCGGTCCAACATTTACCTGTAACTATCACAGCTGTATCATCTGCATACGATGATATTACGTTATTTGGCATGCCTGTTAACAAATCATTTACATATATAATCAACAGTAGCGGCCCCAAGATCGTTCCTTGGGGAACACTTGTTTTCAACTCCTTATAGTCACTAACGATGGCATTAACTTTAACACGCTGACTTCTATTGGTTAGGTAACTTTCCAATAGTTTATGCACACTTCCTCTTATACCATAGTTATACAGTTTGTCCAGTAGTAACATATGATTTACCGTGTCAAACGCTTTAGCCAGATCAAGAAAAATTATTGCTATTGGAGTGCTTCTATCTAGTTTTTCATAAATCAAGTTTGTTATATTTTGAAGGGCATCTTTTGTACCAATATTTTTTATAAAACCATATTGTTTGTCAGAAATTATCTCAAATTTTCTTATAAAATCAGATATTCTGTGATATATCACTTTTTCAAATATTTTTGCTATGTTTGATATCAATGATATTGGTCTGTAATTCTCTACTTCGTGTCTTTTTTTGCTTTAAAGATCGGTTTAATATCAGAACATTTTAGAGTGCTAGGCCAAGTGGCTTTCTCAATACATAAATTAATTATATAAACTAGAGGTAAAACAATATGGTTCGATAAAGTTAATATTGTCTTTGTGTTAATATTATCTAAACCACCAGTTTTTAATTTCATATTGTTGATTATTTCTTTAATTTCTATACAGTTTGTAGGTGTGATTAACATAGTGTTCGGGTTGCAAGGAGGCCTTGATGTTTTTATTGGTTGTATAGTCTGCAGTTTCTGACTAAGCTTAGCACCTATAGTGCAATAATATGTATTCATATTATTCGCTATTGTAAATGGGTCTGTTATTTCCTGATTATTCTCATCAAATAACAAATATATATACAAATACCTGCACAAACAGTTAGTATATCAATAGAGTTTTTTAATTTAAACTTATGTCGTTCGCAGAAATTTCCTAATGGTGTTGGAGTTTGCTATGTTTTGGGATGCTCTTCCGGGGTTAATATACCCAGTCCTAAGTTTCCGAAAAATCCTGACCAGAAAGGGACCAGAAAAAAAGGGTCACCAAAAATTGGCGAAGATTTATTAAAGTATACTGCATCAGAAAAGCACGATATGGCGAGTCATAAGTTTCCGAAAAATCCTGACCAGAAAGGGACC